AGGGGTATATGCCTTCTACCCACCGCCTATAAAATCTTTTCAAGGATTCTTTATAGAAGAATCATTTCGTATGCCGAGGCTGAAATCGGAAAATACCAGGCCGGATTCATTAAGGGTAAATCAACCATCGATCAAATATTCACCTTGCGAATCCTTCTGGAGAAAACCAAAGAATATCAAATTGGTACACATCACATCTTCATTGATTTCAAGCAAGCATATGATTCCATAAATCGTGAGGAAGCATACAAAGCAATGGTAGAAATGAATGTACCTAAAAAACTTGTAAGGCTTGTTAGAATGACAATGGAGGGTAATGAGTGTTTCGTACGAGTACAAGGTGACTTGTCAAAGGGGTTTAGAACATCGACAGGTGTAAGGCAGGGAGACGCTCTGGCATGTCTGGTATTCAACTTTACCCTTGAAAAAGTCATAAGGGATTCTGCTATCCAGACTACAGGAACCCTCCTAAATCGAATGACCCAAATACTTGGATATGCGGACGACATTGATATATTGGGAAGATCGTTTGCGGCAGTACAGGAAGCTTTTACAAGTCTGGAAGAGTCGGCAGCCAAAATTGGTCTTATTATCAACGCGTCCAAAACAAAATATATGTCCACCCTATCCTCACGTCTAACAAGGGAAAACCAAGCATGGTTGGAACAGCGTGGAATCGAGAATGTTGACGAATTTGTATATCTTGGTTCATTGATAAATGCACGAAATAACATGAAGATCATGTTTGCGCTGGCAAGACTGTGTGGCTGCTGATGCATGTTGACTACTTGGTGTCAGAAATTGGAAGGCTGCAGCACCTAATCGGGAGAACTGGAGATCCATGCTGGAGCAGGCCAAGTCTCAAATAATTGGGATGTAGTGTCATTTAATAATAATAGTAGTGATATATACTTAATAGATATGTTCTCACTTGTAAAATGGGTGGAACCAGAAAATCCATAAGAAAAATTCAACTTGTTGGCTCAGATTTAACGAGACCAATACATTTCTTCAGTCAAAATTAAATTAATTATACTGGAATATAAAAATAAGAGTGAAGTTCACACAACTTCCTCATTTAAGCAGGAAATCGAGACCAAGAAGAACTGGTTGAACTTCAATTGAAATAAACACAATCACAAATACATTTTTTTTTTTTTTTTACAATTCCAGAGTAAAAATTAATTTAAATTTACTGAAAATTGCACGAAATATAAGTGTCATACCAGTAACGTTTGGAATCGACCAAACAATACAGTATAAATTAATTTTTTGAATAAAACCTAAAATTTTATAACCCCATAACAATATGATCCTCTATAGGGTCAATGCCTTCAACATTCCACAGCCATTATATTGTTAACAACTATTTATATTAATTTTAATTATTAAATAGAATTCAATAAAATTAATTCATCCTGAAATATCAACGTTGTGTGAACTTCACACAGATTTTTATATTTCAGTTAATCCGAACAAACAAAAAGTTGAATTTTTCCTATTAAGTATTTATCACTACTGTTAGTGAGATATCCGGATATTGAAGTACAAAAGGTCTTATGTAAATATTTTCAGCTTTTATTCTATTTGTACTAAAGGTGCCATTATGTAGTCGGGAACCAATATGCTACGATAGAAAATAGAAGAGAGGAATAAAATACGAAATTATAATAATGAATCATAAAGAAACAATTAGTTTATATGCTCCCCTGTATAACATTCAATTTTAACATACGGTCCTTTGCACTAACAGTAGTAATATTAATGTTCAGTATGCACTGGATTTTTTTCAAAATCACGAATCATCAAATATGCAATCTTCAAATGCAGAACTATTTCATATTTTACTATTCAATGAACAAAACTATCAAACCCGCATAAGTGAAGGATTACTGAATTTCCGAAGACCGCTTCTCCCAGAGATTTTATTCTCATACATAAAATGTTAGACCTTATAACATTTAATATATATTATATATATATATATATATATATATATATATATATATATATATATATATATATATAAATATATTACATAAATAATTATATATTTATAATATATAAAATATATATTATAAATATAATATATATTAAATATATATAAATATTAAATTTTAATATATTAAAATATAGATATGTTTTAGTTAATTAAAACAGTGAAGAAGCTATACTGATCTTACTTGGCAGAAGTTTTTAATAAATAATGCAACTTTCCCATAAACATCCGTGTGAATGACTTGCTCCAAACAATTCTCTTCAATATCTTCTTCTTCAGTTAGGCGTTCGTTTTCGTCAGGAGAAAGCTGAACCCATTTGTCAATTTCTTCATCAGAACTATTTTCCAATTCACAATCATTCAATGATTTTAGATAATTCAGATACTCCACGAAATATTTTTTTCATTTTTAATTATTGATGAAAAAAAAATACCACGAATAAAATATCTAATTATTATAAAATGCGAGTAAGAAATGTGTGATTAATGACTGAGAAAACTAACACCAAAGGATGTTTGGCGTAGTATTTCCAATAATTGGTCTTCTAAGACCCTAACAAAAAACTAAGCAGTTTTTCTCTATCGGTAAGGAGTTATACAAAAAATCTAAAATCTTAGAATAGCAATTAGTAGTTCTATAAATTTTCGAGTTCAGTTTTGTACTAAAACAATGTAGGAAACAATGAATAGAACGAAAACGTCTATAGCGTGAACCTGCTATTTTCTCATATGTGGGACATTAAAATTAAAATTAATAAAACTGATTCTTAGAATTTTTTTTATTTACATTTTCTACAATGCATTATTTTCAGTAATCTATCACAATCAATTAAATCAATATTCAAATTAAATTTCATTGATGAAGTATATTTTTTTATTTTTTTATTTAGACATATAATATTCTGTCACAGGGACAATAATTTTATTGATAAATGAACATATTCACACCGTATGTACAAAAAAAAAAAAAAAAAAAAATTAACATAAAAATTTATTTTTACTTTTGTTTTGATGCAAACATTTTTAAAAATTTATTTTTACCTTTATTTTGATGGGAAAAATTGTTTTTGTAAAAAAATAATGATTAATTTCACCCAAAAAATTGATAATATATGTTCCACTTCTGGAAAAATGGAATATAAAAGGTTAACACTTGAAAAAATATTCAATTAGGTAGGAATAATCTCCATTAAAAAAAAAAAAAAACACCTTTCAGCACTAGTGGTGGACAACCCGAAATTCAATTGTTCCAATAAGGGACAGAGAATCGCTACTTGCAAAGGACATACCTCAGAAAAATTCTAAATTCTTTGATGAACTATAAAGTAACCATAAAGATAAGATAAGATAAATGTTCAACTTACTATTGGCCAAACTGTCAGTGGAAAGGAATGACTCACACTGAACTCAAGAGCACTATAGAAATAACAATAATAGGCATTTTAAAATTTTCTATCGGGAACTTTGTTCATACAGTTGTCAACATTGTTCTTCAATATAGAAAAAAACTGGAACATTTAAATCAATAGCTTATTATGTACATTAAAAGACCAACGTGTCATTACTGGTGCGTTCACCCTATTTCCACTCACCTAATTTTTTTTTTTTCTACTTACCTACATATGAAATATATAGTAAAGGAAAGTATTGCGATCATATAATTTTTGAATCTCAGTTTCAGCAGGAATGCCCGTTTTGAGGCTCCCTGAGTCCAAATAACAAAGTCCCACAAAATGGTCTTTGTGTGTTAAAAGTTTAGCTCAAAAACGAAAATTCTTATGATAGTGAAATTTCGTATTTAAGATTTGTATATGCTTGTGATATACAATATCACAGCAAAATTTCCGTTAAAGTTGACAAACCGGAAACTGCAGTTTATATTATCGAATTAACATATTTTTACGATTTTATCAAAAACAGGTATAACGATTTCGATTAATTTTTTTAAAATTAATATAAACTTAAACGTTTTTGTATATAATGTAGGTATTATTCTTCTTGATGTTCTCTACCGGGACTTAAATGCCTAATTTCAAAATCTCTTCCTCTCAAGTACCTTCAATTTTTCTTTTTTTTGAAATACTTAATTCTGATATATTGAATACTTACTTAATGGTTGACCATGGTCTATTATTGAGTTAGGAGATGGTCCGGGGTGGCGGTCATAAAAAGACTAAAATAGAAAAAAAAACTATTTTATTTAAAAACGTTTCGACTCGAATTTTCGACCGAATTGATTAACACTGGAGCCTGATATAAAAAATGGTTAAATATGAATTATGAAAGAATTCGGGAGTAATCTAAATGAGAAGCAACCTAATATAATTCCGTATTAAAAGAGAACAGACGAAACATATATTCCGTTCATGATTGCCGAGTCTGTTTTCTGACTATGATCCAGAGGAAATAAAGTAATAAGTATCATAATTCTTAGTGAATATTTATACGTTAAAGTTTAAAATGATTAATTATTTAGGTATCCTTAGTTCTAAATTATTTCTTTACACGCCAGACCCTAATCTGCCTTTTATCTATTTATTTGAATCCTACCGTACCATTGAGACAGTTTTGCAGAACAGTTTTTTCCCCCTTTGTTCTTCCCTACCTCGCCTTTTAGGCTATACGGGATTTTCCCATGCCGGAGGGGGAGGGCGGGGAGCCCCTCCAGTACCGGGATGCGAACTCGTATCCTTTATTTTAAATATCATATCTTTGGTTTATGGCCTTATTCCGCTCCTCCATGTCCCTGGCGCGTTTCCTCTTCTTGTGAGCTGTAAGTGAGCGGACCCGATTCCTTCTTTCCACACGTAAACACATTTTTTGTAGTTCGGGTAATTTTCTTCCGTAACTAGCTGAGGGAAATAGGTCTCTGAGAGAACATAGAACATCTGTCTCCCTTAGCAATGTGGAAATTCTGTTTACTCCCTCCCCTTTATCGGTTATAAAGGACTGCTTAAAGTCCAGATATTGTTAGTTTACAGTTTGTTCCCAGTCTAGCAAGATGGTTAATATGGTGAGTTATTTTTTATATCTGGTACTGTTCACTAAAACTCAGGTTAAAATTTAAAAAATATATATTTAAGTCCCGAGAAAGATTATTGTGTATTTGTTTATATGTGTAACGTTTCGTCATTAAAGATCCCATCTTCAGTTGGTAGATAGGAAAAATGTGTGTATTTAAATAATACATATTTATTGTTATTATTAAAATTATTATCAAGTTACTAATCTTAACTATATTTTTTTATCCTTTTTTAATTTATAAGATTTTTTATTATGGTTTCAACTAAAATATAATAATTTCAAATGAAAACAATTTATACTATATTATTGTTATATCAGTATCTACAATTTTATACTATATTTCAAGTTAATTATATTTTTAAATTAATCATTAAATTACATAATTTTTATAGTGGACTCTCTACTATCAAGAAGAGTCTAGTCAGCACTGTTGTTTTTAGAGATTAAAAGTCATATTTTAAAAGATTTATTAATTATTTTATCGTTTAACTATATGTGCATAGTAGCCTCCTATTTTAAAAGTCTATTTTTCTTTGTAAACTATTTAACACCTTAAATAATATTTTAGCTCAGTTAAAGTTAAATATGTGCCTTTTTCTATTAAATATATAATAATTAAAAAAAAAAATTATTCCGCATTATTGTTACATTTATAAGTATAATTTTATTTTAAAATTAATCTTTATTTCATTTCTCTCCTTAATTAATTAAGATTAAAATTAAGGGGAGCCTAGTCAGCACTGTTATGTTTAGATGTTAGGAGTCATATTCTAAAAGATTTATTACATATTTAATCGCTTAATTATACGTGCATAGTGGCCTCTTATTTTAGCGCTCAATTATAATTTTTTTTTTATATGTGTTTCGTGTTAAAAATTGATTCTACTATTTTCTTTGCGAACTATTTAATACCTGAAACAATATTTCAGGTTCGTTAAAGTTGAATGTGTGCCTGTTTTAAATATTGTGATGGGCTAGGGATATTTCATTATCTTATTTTAATTATTATTTGAATATTTGAGGTATTGATCCATTTTTTTCGAAATATTTTGTTTAGATTCTCCAATATATATATATTGACTCACACTTAATACATTTTACTTTATAAAAAACATCCTTTTGCTTTAAAATATTTAATTTATCTTTTATATTACCGAAGTGATTGTAAATTTTACATTGGTTATATAATTCTGTATTTATATCAAACTCATTTCCACTCAATAATTTTTTGATTTTATAATTTAATTTAAAAATATTATTTAATATATACTTTTTATTTGTTTGCTTGATTTATTTAATGTTATTTTAATATGTTATCATTAGTTATACTATTGTTTATGTTTCTTTACTATTGTTTGAAATTATATAATCTTTTTTGGATTTTTACTTAGAATTTTCACTTTTCGACCTATGCTAGGTAGGGAAAGTATTGCAATCGGGTCAAATTTCCAATATACGGTTTTCGACAGAACTATAGTTTCAGAGTCCCCTGAGTCCGAAAAACACATTTTTAGCCATTGGTCTGTCTGTCTGTGCCAAGATTTTCTCGGGAACTACTGTACCGATTTTGTTGCTTCTTTTTTTATTTTGTAGGGTTTTGACTACTGATGCCTGTGACAGAAATTCGGTGCTCCATGTGCAATAAATTAAAAACATGTTTTTCTGTAGACTGTAGCTGGAATACGGCTCTAACGATTTTGATGAAACTTTCCTATAATGTTTTAATCATTATCCTTTCAATTTTTTTTTATAAACTGAATTCCCGGAAAAATTCAGGAAAAAAAGTTATAACGAAAAGAAAAATGTTATGGGACCTAAGTCACTAAGTATATATTATACGGTAAAATTTATAATAAAACTTTTGAAAGATAATTAAATTAACAACAACAAAAAAAAAATCATCGGAATCGAACCAATATTAGCGATGATACAGCTTATTCTATTTTTTACACATTTTTTAACTTATTACTTTCCTACCTATACTAGGTAAGGGAAGTATTGCAATCGGGTCGAATTTTCGATATGCGGTTTTCGACGGAACTGTACGTTTCAGAGCCCTCTGAGTCCGAAAAACACATTTTTAGCCATTGGTCTGTCTGTCTGTCTGCCAAGATTTTCTCGGGAACTACTGCACCGATTTTGTTGCTTCTTGTTTTTATTTTGTATAAAAATCGTTCATTTTGAACAACTATTAACGAAGTTACAGCTATTCAATTTCCAATGTGAGATTACGGGTTCATATCCTGGTGTCAGAAAGGGGTGAATGAGAGCATAGAAGATGACTAAGTGGAAGTAAGAAAATCTGTTGTAACAAACTTCACTATTTCCTCTACTTTAAACTGAAATTATTGTTTGAGAATACTAAGCTATGGCAAAAAGTTTTTGATCAGTAATATTAGTGAGTATTGAAATTTGTACACTGATCTACCTTAAGCCGGTTTACATTGCTTTAGTTTATCAAATAAATCATACTCAAATCTTTTGTTTGATCAATTTTCAGGGAAATAAATCTAGCTAAATTCTTTTTTGTTTCTTCATGGACACATATAAAGATATAAAAACTTTTCTGAAATAGTTGTGAAAGTCGTGTGAGTGGACACGCCAGATATTTTTATTTTGTATTCCCAACGGGATATAGGTTGTGAATTTCGGTAGGTTACTTTATTAACAATAGATTTTAGTGTATTTTCTACTAGTTTATTGACATGATTTCACAGTTTGTTAATAATCGGTAAATCATTTTCAATTAATATATTGTAATTTTGTATTTTAAATTCTAGAAACGTCACACATATAAATAAATAAATAAAATTTTATGAGAGAAAGATTGTAAAGTTCATTCATTGACACACGTTTCTAACGCTTTCAGAGAGAGCCACTTCAAGCTGAAGGAGATATTGAAGTCCCTACTGATGATCACTGGTTTGAATCAGACGAAGAAACAACCGATGAGGAATCATGCATCGTAAGAGAGCTAGATTTCTATTATTTATACTTTGTGAACCATTTTAATATTTTAGGTTCGTTAAAGTTAAATTGTGTCTAATTTCAATACTACAGTTGTCTAGGGCAGTTTTATTATAAAATTTTGGAAGAGAATTTGAGAGAGAGGCTGTAAAATTCATTCACTGATGTATTTTGTTCCTGGTGCTTTCAGGGAGAGCCACTTCCAGCTGGAGGAGATGTTGGGATACCGACTGATGATGACACGTTGATATCTGACGATGAAATGATCGAGGAGGAACATTGGACCATAAGAGAGCTAGAATTACCATCCAGTTTTCTCACGTCTGATGACGAAGTGGTATCAGAAATGAGGACTTTGATTTCTACCTTGGAGAGGAAACATCTACCAATCAACGAATTATCCTCACCAACAAATGGTCCTCATGATCCTGAAGAAAAAATCACCGTTGAGGACCCCATTTTTTACATGGATAAAGAAACGAGAGATAGGTTCATCGAACTAAGGGAAAGATACAAAAAGCAGTTGAACCTTGACGATGACATGAAGTTGTAGGACCATGGACCTGAAGAAATCTAATTTCGAAATAAGTGCAATTGATTTGGTCGACAATAAATGTATTTTTTTGTAAATAGAATTCGTCTTTTACATGTATTATTTTGTAGATTAGATAACTGTTTATTGTACATTGGAAATAGTTAAGTATGCACATACATATTTCATTGTTTAAAGATATAATATATCACTGCTTTTAACTTTGGTGTAAATTTTTAACATCACCCCATTCCTTCAATTTTAAGACATATAATTATTTCTCTATGCAGATAGATTATTTGAGTTTTGGCATATATTAATAATCTATCGTTTGAATATAAATTTCATAATGAGATTAAAGTTAGAACATTTCTACATGGATCAATCATAACTGTTTATTGTTCATACATTCAATATTCATAAATAAAACTTATCATAAATTCAATGTTGGAAAGCTTTTTACATGAGTCTTTTATATTTATTTATTTTTCTTTACGTGGAACTTGAAAAAAAATGGTACTAATTTATCATATCCAATTGAAGCTGGTGTTCCACAAGGCAGTGTCTTGGACCCAGTTCTCTTCATCCTCTTCACCGCTGACATTCCAACCAACCCCGATACCCTTCTAGCAACCTTCGCTGACGATACCGCCATCCTGTCATCCCATTCAGGTCCTGAAACAGCATCCTTAAACCTACAAAGACACATCTCCCTGATTGAGCAATGTTGAAACAATTGGCGCATTAAGATAAATGAATCCAAATGCAAGCATGTCACCTTTACCCTCCGACGCAGATCCTGTCCACATATCCTTTTCAACTCTGTACGTCTCCCCGTCTCAGACACAGTTCGGTATCTTGGATTCCTTTTAGACAAAAGACTAACTTGGAACCCACATACCAGACTTAAAAGACAAGAACTTAACCGACGATATAACAAACTATTAATATACAAGACCATACTCAAACCCATCTGGACCTACGGACTTGAACTGTGGGAGACAACTAAATTTTCGAACATCAAACGCATCCAATCCTTTCAGTCTAAAGTCCTCCGTGTAATAGTCAATGCTCCTTATTATGTTACAAACAAAACCCTAAATCATGACCTTTACATCCCTTATGTCCTTGACGTTATTCCATCTCGATTCTCAAATTTTCATCTGAACCTAATCCACCATCCTAACTCCTTAGCACAATCCTTATCCAGCTCCAGTCACCCCTACAACCCTCCTCGAAGGTTGAAACGGCAGTGGCCTCGAGACCTTTTGTAAAGACTGTCACTGGAGTTCTGGCAATGGCCAGCCTCTCCACTCACGTCATGAGCGTCTGTTGCTTTAGTGCCCTCTCTCAGTTTCCACTGGACTCCTGCCGGTGACGCAGCTGAGAGAGAAGCGCTGGGATCTCTTAGAGTCTCGCTTCATTCTTCACACGTGGAGGAAAGGGCTGGACTCGGAACTCCCTAGGCTGATTGTAAATAAAGTATGAATGTTTTTCTTTTTTATATATCTATTTGTTTTACTTATTATTATTATTATTTTTTTTTAATTTGAATTCAAGTTACATTTTGTTTAGTTTTATAGTTTTTACCTTTGTTATATAGATATATATTTTTTTATTTATTTTTTTATTTTATTTTTTTATTGCATTGTATATATAGTATGAATGAGCCTCACTCAGCTTTAGTACTCAGTGCCCTTAAATGTGGCAAAATGTATTATTTCTCAATAAAAATATTTAAAAAATTTATCATATAACAGTCTCAGTAAGTGCCGATGAACATTTTTATTGAGAACGACAATGGAAATTAAGAATAACCTCTTCTTTATTTAATAAATTATTTTTAGATGATTGATGTAACTTATAATTTCAATATTTATAAGGCATTATAAGCACTCTTATTAACATAAAAACTCAAGTGATACATCAAACAACTTTTACTCAACACACTACTTTTGGAAGAAATTTTGCTATTCCATAAATTGCTTTTTGATAATTGAAATATATGACCTACTAGCATTTTTCTATTCAGTTGTAAATAATTGTATTTTGTATTTGTGTTTGGGAAGTATGTTAAGATAATTGTGAAACAATTTAACTGGAAATAGTGAATTCTGATAAAGCAGATGAAATATGTTCTGATCCCTATAAGTTTAAAGGACCCTAAATCGTTAAACGTATTAGAGTAATATGGATAATAAAGATTAATCAGTGATATTTCCAATTTATCTAAGAATAATGAAATAGCACATCGAAATATATAAAATATAAAAATGATAATTACATATTCAGAGGCTACTTGGAATGTGGACAAAAAGAGGAACCAAACTTATTAATTTTCACCCTCACAAATGGTTCAAGATAGTCAAATAATATAGGTATACTAGTTATTGTAATTAAAGTAAAATCTTTAAAGAGTATTTAACTATATTATTTCCAATCAATTATATATCACGAGTAACATTACCTTCCTTATAACATAAGAAAAAAATAAATAAAAGGTGATTTCTTATATTGCCCTAAATAACTTTTTATTTAATCGTTAGTGAGTTTCAAAGAAAAAAAAAAACAAAAAAAAAACACACGTTGCTTCAGTTGATGTGTACATAGGAAATAAACTTTGCAGCAGAACATATAATAAATATTTAAATAACATTTCTTTACACCAAATTGTCCAATTTTAACAATTATTAAATTTTAGAAAATTTTAAAAGACCATAAACATCTACAAAAAAAGTGTATACTTTTTGAGTCATTCGGAAATCTAATTTTACTTTTATTTATTTATTAACTTTTATTGAAGCTCCGTTTTGTTGAAGTACGTTCTACACGTAAATTTAAAGGGTATCGAGGGGAAGACGTTAGCCAAGTTCCATTGAAATCGGTACATTCGTTTAGGCGTCACAGTCTATACCAGCACAGGCTTTTCAGTCGTCATCTTGAAAAGAAACGGCGGATAGTAATATCGAGGTAGGAGGATCATTCTATGGAGCAGCCTATGACTGTGACGATAAATTCGAAAAAATCGGTCCAGTAGTCTCAGAGAATATGGGCGGACAGCGTACAAACAAAATCTTTTTTTATTCGATCTTGAAACGTAGAACATCAAATCTTGATGGGACGTTAAGTTTTTGAATTTTTTGGTCGATTACAAAGATTAAAGATTGAAAATAATAAACCAAAAACTTTAATATTGTGGTACAGCGCCTGTTGGCAAGTCGTTATTTGTTTTCGGCCAGCAGAAATAGGGAAGGCCCTCTTAATACTTTTGCTATCATGCTTAAGTCGAAATACTATGCCTCTAATTAATTAATAACTATTTCCTTGCGTATAAATTTCTATAATTAGAATAATAGTAGAAAATTAAATGAAAACCAACATAGCGAGGATAAAAATCAACATGTAAGGAAAGTATGTGCACCATGGGCCATCCTAAGAATAAAGAATTCCACTGGTTAGAAATTCAGGATCTGTGGAAAAATTTAATGTCCTGTACTGACAGGACACATTCCAGCTGATTTTGGTGCCTCTGTTCCGCTCCGTTGTTGGTAATGTTAATAAGAGAGTTTTAGAGTTGGAAAAGTAATTTGTTTTTACATGATGTAGGTGTGAATGTGTTTTATATATTTCAATTTCATTTAGTTTCATTTTAGTTATCATTTGTATGTATATATTGTGTGAACGTTTAATGCAGCCCTAATATTAATGCCCTCCAATGCGGCAGAATGTATTAATTTTCAAATAAAAAAAAAGATGTTTACTTGATATAATAATTTTTCGTCAAAAGGTTGCATGAATATACTCAAAGTAATCAATCAATTGATAAATAGTACTCTCTTTAGCTCCTTCGAATACAAGTATCATGTGGTGTGTTGGATTTCGGATGCTTATTAAATCAGAGTAATCATTAAGAATTCTTTGCCCATGTGTATTACACGTACTCTCAATAATCCTATTTCAAAGCTGTTTTCATTAAGTTGCATTTGAAAATCAATCTTAGTTAAGTTTTATTTATAACAAAATTCATTAAACTTTCTTAAAAAGTTGAGATGGTCACAAAAGGTATCCTGAAGCTGAATATTTCGCAAGATTAGATTCTTGTACTCTATATCTTGTCCATATTGTGAGAGAATGATATATTACTCAATAAAATTAAAACGGAATTTTCTGATAGATACGAAGAAGAACCATATGCTGAAAATTCTCCATTAGGCAACAACAGTTTTAATCCAGTTTATGAATTAGCTGCTATTGTAACATTTGAGCTGATCTATCTGATAAGGTCATGACAACACTTCAGAAAAATGTTTCCATTAAAATCTCAATAGAAAACAAAGTAGTTTCCTTAAAATGAGCATAAAAACTGAAAACAAGAGGAAATAAGTGCATAATTCATACTGATACGCAGGAAAAATAAAATCGAGGTGGTTGAAAAAATAAACGTAAACGAAACAAAAAGGATTTATGAAAATAAATAAAACTCATTCATCGTTTTTTTCTTATGATAAAATAAATATCCAGTGAATATAGTACAAGATCTTATCGGAAGGACTGATATAGAAATATCAGCTGCTAAGAATGATATACAAAATATATTTCATTTATTAGTTTCATTTCTCATCCTTATGGATTATTTAATGTTTGGTTTTTATATCATAAACTAAAAAGCGTAAAATTCAGTATGGTATTGAATGAAATTGTTCGGTTTTCTTTTTTTAACAACATTGGGGTCAACTTAACTGGAGAGAGAGAAACAGTTTATTTTCATAAAATATAAAGGATTGCTGCCCAATTATATTGGGTTGCTATATACACAGCATACTCTTCTATCCTTAGAACAATATATGAACTTATATATAAATATACAGAAGTATTAGTTAATATTAGTATAAAATATATATATATACACATTTTTATTATTATTTCATTTATTTTTTTCCATTTTTTTTTTTCCTTTTTCCTTCCTTTCATTGTTCATGCTTTTTTTTTTTAATTTTTTTTTTAACATTTAGTTTCCCTTTCTCTCACTTCTCTCTCTTTATCTCTATTGTTTTCAA